CTATTATTCTGCTGATTGTGGAGCGTCTTGTGAGAAAACAAGTCCAGTCTATAATGCTGAACAGCACTGCAGTGATCTTATCATAAATCTCCAGACGTTCCCAGAAACATGGTTGGTTTCCTCTTTCTTCACCCTCCTCTCAGATCTCTGAAGCCTTTGAGGTGCTGCAGGTAGTTTGGATCGGCGTCCACCAGTCCCATAGAAAGGATCTTTGCCAGTAAATGCACGTCGTCCTCTCGCAGGTCATTCTGTTAAAGAGACATGCATCAAATGTTTGATCGCTTGAGATTTAATGAAACGACTGCAGCTGGACAAACTACTCACCAGTGAGCTGTTGGAAGAGGATTCAGGAATCTGAGGTTTTTTTCCCTGTAAACAGCAATAACCATATCAGATAACAGGGTTTTATGTTCCTTTACAGGTAACTTGCTTTTGTTAAATTTTAAAAGATATCAAAGGTTACTCACATCTTTCAGGCCTTTGGAAAAGCAAATTACAACAAAGAGTAATCCGGCAACCACCTGAACGAAAGAAACACAGCCGTCAATACCAGAACTATCACTCCTCTCCGAAAACTGAAACATTTTGAACCTTTACTTACTCCAACCAGCTCCAACATGTTTGCTTCTCAAGCTTCTGTTCCGCTTCTATAGTCAGTCGTGTCTCGGTTTGATCTTTATAAACCTGGCTGCTGCCACCCATCAGGCCACTCTGCGTAACCAGCAGGTGAAAAACTCCCCGGCAGAACCTGCAGAACGGGACGAGCCGCATCGCCAGGAAGGCACCTGATGCTGAGTCTTAACAATAAACAGCTGAAATTGTTCGTTACGTAAAGTGTTTGCGTAGACAGGGCTGATGGAGTGGGAAGAAAGCTGTTATTGACTGCAGGTCAGTCACTGCAGCCTGTAATCACAGACGCACTTGGAAAACATTACAATCACCTCCACCCTTATCTGTGCATCACAAAATACTTGAAATATTTGTCAATATGACTTTCTGGAGTCTATAACCTTCATAATATTTTAAAAAGCTTCATTTATTGTTTGCACTGTGAAAGTATAAAGGTTTGCTCTACTTCTCTTTTTTCCTGGGACTCACCCAGCTGCAGCTATGAGGAAGCAACTCGTCGTGACAAGGAAACAATTTCATCCTTAAAATCAAATTGACACTTTTAAAATTAAAAACAAAAATTATTTCCTGGATCTTTTTTTACCTGCTGAGCAATTAAATGTGTAAATAGTAGTTGAATTAAATGACAGAGTCAGATTTTTGAAGAAAAGAGGACTTTTTTTGTAGAGCAAAGTGTTCAAGAAAAGTGTCTAATTTTTGGAATCACTCGTTTTCTGTTTTATTTTCTACAACAAGAATGATAAATAGGTTGGAATTTATCTAACCTATTTATGATAAAGGGTTAAAATTTACTTTTGATAGTTTCAGGATGTCTATGCACCCAATTTTAATGAAAATAAAAATTAACTAAAATGCAGCTACAAAAAAGACAAAAACTTACATTTTATTTCTATGGAAATATTGACCAAAAAATTACAAAAGTGTTCAAAACTTTAAATTCGGTTGGGTTTGTATAAATCCTGAAAGATGCACTCATGCACCTACAGGTGAAAACTAAAGCAACAGAAGAATCAGACAAACTGAACGCCGATGTTTCTTACTTTGTTCACAACCCAGAAATTCGTCCACATTTTTTCAGGTGACAATATGTGAATTGTATTACCCTTTTCTTTTCAAATTTTATATAACAGAACAGAGTGGAGCATAATGGTGAAGTGGAAGAATAATGATTGACATTTCAATCTTTCACCACAGCTTGATGTTTTCAGAGATTATGTCTCCTGCGAGATAATCTCTACCAGCTTTTAAAGGTTGAAGCTTTTGTTCATTTTTCATCTCAAACTATGCCTGATTCGATCCATTTTCCAATCTTTTATGATTGCATTCAAGTCTATACTTTGACTAGGCCACTCTAACACATGAATATTCTTTGTTGCCCTGCTGGAAGCTGAACTTCCAGCCCAGTTTGTTCTTGTAACCCAATGAAAACCTTGTGGAAATTTCCTCCATCATGTTTGATCTGATTTTTATTCATGATCTGAAGTAAATTCTCCACACTGGATCCTCAGGGTGAGACCTTTAATAACCCGGCTGCTTGTCAGTCTGTAAATTAAATTGTGTTCAATTAACTCACACAAAGACCCTTTTGACCCTAAACAAAGTCCAACAAGCCCGAGAGGAAAAGTGTTTTGTAACAAAGGAAACTTAGTGGAAAAATATTCACAAAACACTCCACAGAAATGCAGAGTCTGTGCTTTCATTCCGCTGCAGGCTGAATGTGGTCACACAGGGTTAGTCGGTCAGCAGGTCTTGGGTAACACAAAAGAAAGAAAAATGCAGTGCAACAAAAATCAGAATTTCCCAAACAAACTGCATTTACAAACATCAATCCAGCTCAAACCGCACACATAAAAACATGCAAAGACCCCAAAATGTTCAGGGAAACAAGAAAAGCCAAATTTAAGAAGAAACAGCTAGATGAAGATGAAGATGTAAAAACACAGTAAGTGCAGATCTGGTTGTTGTTTTTGTTCTTTTCTGGTGGACATTATTGAGCTGGTTTTGCTTTCCATTTTATTTAGCTTAATGTTTTTGTTCACTTTAATTTTGCCCTTCAGGGTCTTTTTGATGTTATTATTTGAGGTATTTAGTCTAATTAGAAGGTCTTGTTGCTTTCCTTATTGTCAGTTCTTTATAGTGTTTCAAGTTTGGATTTTTTGTTGGTTAATTTTCTCCATTAAAACATTCATTTATTTCTATGTTTACTGCCTGCTGAGTTTGGGACTCCCACCACACCTCATCATGACAGATTTAGCTTAAAATGTTTGTTTTTGATCAACTTCATGGTATTGTCATAATCTTTAACTATTTGGAGCTTTCAGTTTCATTAATGTTTCTGTTTTGATCATTTCTTTGTTTATTTGCTTAGATTTTGCCATTTTAGTTCATGTCTTCTTGTTTGGCATTTTTTCTTAAGTGTTGTTGTTGGACATATATTCTGTTTTTTTTTCCTCCTATTCATCTTTCTCCTTCCCCAGCTGCAGCTACTCCCTGGTGATTAGCTCTCCTGGTTCTCATATAATTCTCCACTCCATCATCAGTATACAAACTTCATTTCTGCATTGTTCTCATCTGGTTCCTTCATCTTATATTTTGCCACTGGAATATGATGTCTTTGTTTGTTTATTGTGCTACAAACATCAGATCCTGTAAGGCAGATACCAGCTTGCTTTGCTCCATGAGTGCTAATCGGCCTTTTGCTTCCTCGTTCCTGCATTTCCAAGAAACCAGATTTCAGTACAGAAAAAAGAAATGAATGCCAACAAGCACCATCCACCATCACATGCTGACTTCAGCCGCTGCGCTCACCTCCTCCTATGAAACTCCACCACCATATTCCATATTCATATCATAACTCCTTAAATAGCCACTCACTTTTCCCTGACTTCTGTCTATATCTCCAGTTTTAGTGAGTCTTTCCGCTGCTTTTGCTCTGATTCCTAGGCACCAACCAGGAGGCATGAAGCCTCTGACGGCGTTTAGGATCTCTGGGACACACAAACCCTTCCACCGTGATAAGGTGGCAGCCCACAGAGGGGGAAAAAACCCAGAAACAGTCGTTATGCTGCCATCACCTAACTCTTCTCACTCTGCTGCTGATAAAGTTTTACTTCCATGAACATGGAAAGTTCTCCTGTTGTTGTGTCTCTGCTCCGTCTTCTCTCTCCTCCAGTCGGTCATGGCACATGGCTGCTGGTACTGGGCCCGGTTCTGGTTCTGCTGCAGGTTTCTTCCTGTGAGAGGCATTTTCAAAGCTTAATACTAAACTGTTGCTCCAGTCCATTCTTTCAACAGGAGTGAAGAGGGCCAAATGACAACAAATGACTTATGAATTTTTTTTTAACATGTCAGTAATTTATTACAACTCTTCACTCTCCACAGATTCTGGATCTTTTTATACATTTTTAAATAGTATAAGTTTATTCCTAAATTGTTATTTTAAAATATACAATAAAGCTTCCAGAAATACAATTTTCTTTTTTTGTCAACAAAGATCATGTATTTTGTACGACTAGAACTTTCTAAGTATTTTATACTCATCGAAAGTCATTTTGTTTTCTTTTTACTTTTTTTTTTTACTGAAATACATTTCAAAACTTGTACTTTTTTACTTTTACTTTAGTAAAACAATACAGCAGGGAATGTGCTGAAATGTGTCATACAAATAACTTAATTAATTGATTACACAGTTCAACCTGGACTTTTACTTTTACTAGAATATTTTTTCATTCCCTGCCCTTCTACTGAAGGAGAAGATATGAATCCTGTGGAAACGTTCAAACTAGTATGAACGGTTTGTTCACTACCGCCAGAGGGCGCCACATGATCCACAGCAGTAAATGAGTCATTCGGTCTGAAAAACAGAAACAAGATCCAACAGATCATTTCCAGATTCTTCCATAAGACGCGCTGCACCATAACATCATTGGCTGAAAAAAACTACATATTTTATCTGTTTAAATAAACCCAGGAAAACATAGATTTTGAGTGTTTTATTTCTCATATTAACATATTTTTAATATATTACTTTTATATTGTACTATATATCACGACAATAACTTTCAAATATTCATATTAAATGCATGTTGTTTTTTGAAAACTGAACTTTACCTTATTATGTGAGCTCAATTGCGCACTAAAAATAAACAACATCGCTTTTGGTTTCAGATTGTTGCTTTTATTTAATTAATTATTTTATTGTCAGTATCAAACTTTAACAACTTAAACATATTTTTGCGACCTGGGCGACATAAAGTGAACCCCTCTGTTAGTGGTGTACTTGTAGAAACAATTCAAGAAATATGAGCGAGTTTTATTGATTTCAATGTAATGTATAAAAACGTTCTCAACCGCAGGGATCACGCATGCGCAAGATGCGCTCTAGAACATTTCTGATGCTTCCCGACATTTCTTTACTACTCGGGAGAAAATGTGGTACGTTTTCCGGTTTAATTGTCAAACTTTCCAAATTAAATCTCAACACGTGTTTACAAAACTATTATTTTTGGCACATAGTAATCCCATTTTGACACATATTTATATAGTAATAGTAATTATGTAAATCAAAGTGCTTTTTAACACCGATTTGAACGGTTGGTGCTGCTAACATTGCTAAAAAGACTTTTATTTTTTAAAGTTCTACCGGAAATGTTGGTTGTATTTCCGTGTGATTGACACACTGCATTAATAGCGCCGTACAGCGGTTGTTGACAGATCTTTTGTAGTTGAGTGAAAGATTCCGTCACATCCAGTTGATTGTTGGATTTCCACGTTAATCTCTGGAAAATGTCCGGTGTATAATCTGTGAAAGCAGACGCAGAGTGAAGCGCGAGGAGGCGGGAGGCTGTTTGTGGAGCCGCTTCAGGTGAGATTCACTGCTGGGCTTTAGCGGCTCGCTGAAACAGGCTCTCAAAGTTGTTTAAGGGGAGATTTTAGCGAATCAAAAACACAATAAAAATACATGGTGGGTGTTTATGTTAATGATGGCTTTGAGTCCCTGAATGAACTCCGTGCTGCATGATAACACTTTAGCTTGCTAGCTGCCTCTCTTATAGTGGAATATAACCTGTTAAAGTATCGATGACACCACGTGTTGAACGCGTTGACTGAATTTATATGTTATATGTTATCAGTAAAGAAAAGCGACCTGTCAACCGCTTCATAAACACCAAATTGTGCAGGTTGCACCATTCATTGCTTACCTGGCTAGCTTGTAATCTCTATGCTAACTATGGTAACAGGAAACATCATCCCAGATTATTAGAATGTTGTCAATACTGGCTGTTAATGTGAAGTGCGTTAATTATGATATTTTTATGTACATAATGTCAGAAATGTGTTCAGATTAAGAAGTCCAAAGCTTCAGGAGGAAAATTAATTATTAGCTTGGCTAATTGGTTTAAAGCCTGTATGTAGGTGCATGTCTATAGATTAGAATATCACCAAAAAGTTAATTTATTGACTAATTAATACCAGTAATTAATTCAGGAATGTTAGGCTTTACTCATCCATGAAACAGCGGCTTTGACAGATATACAGTAGACTGTCATTATCATCTCCCAGCTGCCTTCTCACATGTTGTATCAAAGCATATTGCAGGAAAGTTTGGTGGAAGAAAAATGTACACAAGCAGCATTGAGTTTGGAGATGTACACGGCGTACCAGAGCCTCCACATCAACCATACACACATGTTTACAGAACTAGTAGAGTGTTTCATTGAAAATGAAAATAAATTTATAATTTCATTCAGAAATCAAGACTATGAAGGCAGCGAATCCAAACTGCTTGAAGTCCAGGTCCAATTAGTTGAAAGTTTCCATCAAACTGTGTCCTCTGCTGGTGCTGGTCCACTGGATTTTATCACGTTTGACTATATAAGTTCATGCAAAAGTACTGTACTCACATACAGTGTAAAAGAAAGATGAAAGTATTCAGATTTTTTAAAAATTGGCAAATTCTGCTGATCTTTGATTTAATCACCTTTTTTATACATTAAAAATGAAAAGTGTATCAAAATACATTTTTTTATTATTTTTGAATTACAGTTCATTTTAATCCGCTACTACATCAAAATATGTAAATAAAATAGTTTATTTTCTTTTTAAATAAGAAAATATTGCCTAAAATTCTTCTAGTGGATGCCTGATTGTTTGTAGTAAATGATGCACCTGCAGCTAAACCATACGAAAGGATCAACTCTTTCTGCTCAGCTTAACACCAACATGGCGTGTGGCTAATCTGGTGATTATATTTTGGATCAACAGATTAATAATTGGATAGCAAAACATGTTTACTATTATTGAGGAGATTTTGGCAGAACATCTTCACAGACAAAGGTTTGTTATCTTTTTAATGGAAAATGTATATATTTTTGTACAGTTTTGGCTTAATTCGTGCTCTGAAGATGTTGTTCTTTAAGCAAATGATCTTTTGGTGACTTTGTGTATGCCAGTTAATGAATATTTACAAAATTACATGATGATTATTTCAATAATTGATTCATCATGATTAATTGTCTACTTCCATTGCATATAAATCATAATAACTGGCCAGTGATTCTTGCTTTTCTTTGTGGTTCCAGTGATCCTCCATGTCTGTGCTTTATGAAGCTATAATGGATGTTACGTTTGCAGGGTGAACTTTATCCTGCAGAGCCACCATGCTGTGTTGGGGAAACGCCTCCTACGGACAGCTGGGTCTGGGCGGGATCGACGAGGAGATTGTAGTTGAGCCGCGGAGGTGTGAGTTTTTTCACGGGAAGCGAGTGAGCGACGTTGGCTGCGGCCGCAGACACACGGCCTTCCTGCTGGACGATGGGACCGTCTACACCTGCGGCTGCAACGACCTGGGCCAGCTGGGTCACGACAAGACCAGGAAGAAACCAGGTTGGTGACGTTCATTGTTTCTGTCTGGTTTCGTCGGCCTCTGCTGATAAAAACCTGAACCGTGTCATCTATCAGAGCAGGTCGTGGCCTTGGACGCACAGATTATCGTGGCGTTGTCCTGCGGAGAGTCGCACACGCTGGCCTTAAACGACAAAGGCCAGGTTTTCTCCTGGGGGCTCGGCTCAGACGGACAACTGGGTCTAAATAACTTTGAAGAATGTATTCGAGTTCCGAGGTAGATCTAGTGACCTACTGTTAAAATGAGTTTTTTCACTGCAGTCCTCATTTCCAAGTCCAAGTTAGATAAATGATCAGCTGTTCCTGAAACGTTACAAAGCCGAATGTCTAGAATAAAACAATGATCCAATCTGATGGTTACATAATAAAAATTTTCTTCTTGAGCTTATATGTATTTATTCAATAATTTAGCAGAAAAAAGTTATTGAATTAAAAATATTGCTTACCTGTCAATTAGTTTTTGATTAAAAATGTGATAAATTTATTACATTCAAGTAACTTGAATAAGATTTTTGAGTCACACCACTTAGACAAATGTCGCACTTATCAAATTTCTCCATTTAGCCTTTTCATGTTGTTTGTTTCAAAAGGGAAAATGCATATTACAAAATATGGCAGTCCCTCACAGTACAGCCAGTATAAATACAAAACATTAGACCACTTAACCAGCGAAGAGAATAATAAATAAAAAGCACTTTTTTATCTAGTAAACTTTAAAAGATATATATAATATTTTATAATAATTTATTTGAGTTATACACTACCACTTTGTGTTGCCCCGTCACATCAATTTCCAATAAAGAACATAAAAATTTGTGGGAAAAAAAGATCAGAAGGGAACAAACACAATATTTGCTTCTGCTTTTATTATATCAAGTCTGATAAAATGTGTTTTCATTCTGCTTCTCATGTTCTTATTTTCTATGTTTTATCAGGAATATCAAGAGTTTATCAGATGTACAGGTCGCCCACGTTGCTTGTGGGTTCTGGCACTCCCTCGCTCTCTCCAGAGGTGAGGACGTTTTGTTTGGTTTATTTCTTCTTCCCCTCGTCTCTGTTCCGGTCCATCACAGCGCGTTTGTTTCCAGGCGGACAGATCTTCTCCTGGGGTCAGAACCGATACGGCCAGCTGGGGCTGGGCCTGACGGGTCAGGGCGTCTCCACGCCTCAGGCCGTCCAGTCGCTCCAGGCCATTCCCTTCGCTCAGCTGGCAGCAGGTGGCGCTCACAGCTTCGCCCTCACTCTCTCTGGTGCTGTGTTCGGCTGGGGCCGCAACAAGTTCGGCCAGCTGGGGGTCAACGACACCAACGGTGGGCGCTTTACAAAGCCTTACGATGCCTGGGAGAGTTTCAGTCTAATTCTCCTCTGGCCTTCAACAGATCGCTGCTTCCCAACTCTCCTCAAGTCTCTGAGATCCCAGAGAGTGATCTACGTCTGCTGTGGAGAAGATCACACGGCCGTGCTCACAAAGGTCGGCTCGATCCGTTCAGCTTTTCAGAACGTTTTCATTTGAATATGCAAACAGCCAGGCGTCTGACTGGTTCCTGCTTTATTTTAAGGGTTGTGAACACAAACTGAATGAATTCATGTCCGTACTTAAGAATGACAAAAAATCAACTTTTTTTTTTTTTTAAAGAAAAAGAGGTGTCAAATTTCTTTTATGCCATATTAGACATATGTAGTAACAACTGAAGATGACATAATTTCATATGCTGTAAAATGGCACTAAGTGCCTGTAAAATACATAACACTCCCCCTTGACAGAATTTGACCTAAATTCAGTTGAATGGTTTTTGTTCATTTATCAGTTTTTAATGAAGTGCAAATATTCATTGTGGCATCAAGTTTTAATGAGAATTTTAGAGTATAATTAGCTTATATATCACAGTTTAATTCTCTCCTTTTCTTTTTCTTTGGTCCCATAAAGTGTATTTTAATTTAGCTGATTTATCAATAAGTGGCTCTTTCACTGCTGTTCTTCTTCTCTGCCAGCAGCAGGTTCCTGCACAAGAGCAGCACAAACATGGAGAACAAAAAAACATGGCAAAATTTCTATGACTTGATGATTAAAGCAAGATGAGAGGCACCTGCAGTGCTGACACACACAGCAGTCACTTCGTTCTCACCTTTGAGGGGAAATGTTGCATTAAGATGGAAGTTTGTAGCTCAAGTTGTAAAAGAAAGTGAATCATTAAGCTGTGCTGAATCCTGCCAGGCTTGTTGTAAGAACATAGATTATTTCTAACTACAAATGATGGATGATGGTCTTGTTGAAGAGATTTGGGTCAAAGAAAACAAGTTTGATGACGTTAACGATTGCTCTGTTGTATTTGCATGTTTATTATTATTTTCAGCTTCATGCTTCTGTGTGTTTCCACAGGAAGGGGGTGTGTTTACGTTTGGCGCAGGAGGGTACGGACAGCTCGGCCATAACTCCACCAACCATGAAATCAACCCCAGGAAGGTGTTTGAGCTCATGGGAAATGTAGTCACTCAGATTTCATGTGGCAGGTAAACGATAAAACGATCAAATGAAATGTGGACGCTGCATCTGTTTAGACATTCATAACATTCTGAACATCAGGCAGCACACGCTGGCCTTCACACCCGCTTGTGGGAAGATCTACTCGTTTGGACTGGGAGGGAACGGCCAGCTGGGCACGCGCGCTACCTGCAACAGGAAGAGCCCCTCACCTGTCAAAGGACCCTGGGCCACTTCCGGTCCCTCGCAGGAGAACGGTGAGACTTCCTGACGAAAGCTGGAGAAAATCTAAAGATCCAGTTTTAAAATGTTGCTATTTAAAGCATATGAGATGAAAATCCAACGTTACATGAATAATATGTCTATTATTGTACTAATGTCCAGACTCGGAGCAGAGCTGCTTGATCAAAAGGATTTACGCTGGAGGAGATCAGAGCTTTGCTCATTATTGCAGCACTTATGTAAGTAAACTGTGCTCTTTAATTGTTTTAGTTTGTCTTTAAAAAATGATTTGGTCAGTAATATTGCCCCCTGTTGCTCTCTCTACATTAATAATTCAAATCTCTATATTTTGGAAGGAAAATAAAATCGTTTTTATGTTTTTTCCTCCTGGTACAAAAGTAAATGTAATCATATGCTCTGAAATTAAACCTGAGTTATTAAAGTTTCTGAATCCAAAATGCCAGTGGCATTCAGGGTCTGTGTACTGGAATATGATGCATTCAAGTACAATACGTCACACGCAGTAGCCTTTAGCTGCAGTTAGCACCTGATCACTTGCACTAAGTGGACCGTAACCATGAATCCACTGTTGAAGTCGTCAATATTTTACTAAAAACTTAAAGTGTCTTAAAAAAGTGTTGCCAGCCTTTGTTACTACATGCTTGTAGCTAAAGACGACGATTCAATGCAGTCAGCTTCCCACATTTTGTCGCCTTGCAGCTATAAACCTCAGTGTATTTGAAAGTGTGAATGAACAAAAGAGATTTTGTTCATTCAAAATCTCTTTTCTTATTGTTGTGGCGGATAATGTGTTGGGCAGAATAGATCTCCAGTAGCAGTCAGTCTTACAACACATCTAAAGAGGCCTCTGACTGAAGACTGTATGGCAGGCTCATAACATTCTAACAGCTTAATATCTGAGCATCAGATAAACATGCACAGTTTACAGCAGATTTATGAATCAGAAATGCAGAAAAATGTTCTACTCTTCAAACTTCAAATCTATCAAGCTCGTTTTTCAAACCTGATGGGTTACATCAACGTAAGCTGATGTCTCTTTATTGTAGGAACCTCAGGACATGTACAATTTGACAGTACAAAATCCTCAAAGAAGGATTTGCACCCTGAATGAGGAGATTATACAGAAATGGCTGAACAACTCACCAGGAAGACTCCCAGTCGACGTGTCCAAGTAAATCTGTCACTCAGGTTTCTCCTGCCCTGATATTCATATGAATGAAATCTTTTCAGCTCAGTTTGGAGGTCTTGTTGCACCGTGTTAATAATGATTCCTTCTGCTTCCTGCAGTGAGATCGACCTGCTGTTCTCCTCTGCCAGCTGCCTGAACGGCTCGTTTCTGTCCACCAGGTAATCAGCAGAACCAAACCTTCTCCACCTTTTAGTCTCATCCCTCGCTTTAAAGCTGGTTTTTCCTTCTGCTCAGTCATCCGGGTCACTTCAGTACCAGCAGTAAATATTCTGGCGTGGACATGAACATGGCTCGGCTGCTTCTCCACAGACTGATCCAGCAGGACCACCCAAAGATTTCTCAGCAGGTCAGTCAAGAATAGAACCGAACTTCAGGCAAATGCATCGACGTCACAGAACAGATAGGAAGTCAAATATTTCATTTGTGACCAAAGGATAAAGTAAAAAAAAAAAGCAATTAGTTATTTTGAAAGAATAATAAGTTATTTATTCTCAATTTAAAAAACAAACATGGATCCGGTCCATCCGCAGTAACGGGAACCGGCCCGTCGCTGGTGTTTTGTGCCTCAGGTTGCTGCCAGTCTGGAGAAGGAGCTGATTCCCAAACTGAGCAGCTCTCCTCCAGACATCGAGGCGTTGAGGCTCTACCTGTCGCTGCCTGAAAGCCCCCTGTTCAGCGACCGCAGCAACTACATCACCATCACCATCCCCTTTGCCAAATGCGTCGTCGGCCTGAAGGAGGCGCCGCTGAAGGTTTTAGGTTGGTTCCGTCAAACTCGCTGAAACTCATTCCTCACCCGGAAAGAAAGAGTCAAAACCCAACAGGAAGTCACAATTTGTAGTTAATTTGAAAATTTAAAGTCATAATGCCAAGTTTAACGTCATCATTTTGAGAAAAATAGTCCTAATAATGTTGTTTTCATTATGACTTTAAAATTCATAGTTATGACTTCCTGTTGGACTTTCTTCCAGTGGAAATGAGCTTCTATATGGAACAGCAAGTCATGGATTCATGATAAAAAATGTTCAGGCACTCTGATCAGCCTTCTAAAAGTAAAACATAAATTAAAAATGTTATTTACGTGATGCCATACCAGCACTGGAGCAACACTGATTCATTCAGGTTCATGAATGAATACATTTCTGTTTTGTACCTGAAAACATGCAGAACTTTTCTTCTTGCCGACTGAAGCTTATGTTGCTGAGTGGAGCCATCTTGGTCTCAGATTGTTGTTTGTTTTATGGCTTCAGGGAACTGGTGGTCCACATTCGAGCCGCTGTTCTTCCAGCGGCTGGTCGACCTCTACAAGGACGTCGTCGTGTTTCTGCTGCAGATGCATAAAATGGGCATTCCTCCGGCGGAGCAGCGGATCTTCACCTGCTTCATGGACACTTCGCTCCGGTTCCTGGAGATTCTGCACAAGGTGAGAGAAGGTTTGCTGACTGGTTCTGCTGCTGCTGCTGGGTGTTCTCTGCTTTCACTTTGCTGCTCTCTAAAGGTGAACGAGAAATCAGGAAGCATCATCCAGTACGACAAGTTCTACATCCACGAGCTGGACGACCTGATCGACATCAGGAACGACTACGTCACCTGGATTCAGCGGCAGATGTACCCCATGGTGAGTCAGAGTGAAGATATTCTCACCCTGGAGGTTTCCACACCTTGTGATTAAATCTATAATTTTTTTTCTCCTTTCTTTTCTAAAAAAGACATCTCTACTTCCTGTTAAACGCCTTCAGTGTTGATGTGTGTTTGCGTCCTCAGGGCCGCGACGGTGTGGTGACTCTCTGCAAGTATCCCTTCGTCTTCGACGCTCAGGCGAAGACGGCGTTACTTCAGACAGATGCCGTCATACAGATGCAGGTATCTACTGCAGTTCTGCTGGATCTCTGCACTGTCCCAACCCGACTGAGCCCGTTTTACCTCCACCTGTGTGTGAACACCAGATGGCGGTGGATCAGGCGCAGCTGCAGAACTTCAGCTCCATGTTCCTGCCCGCTGTGGAGTCGGTCAACCCCTGCCTCATCCTCATCGTTCGCAGGGAGAACATCGTGGGCGACACCATGGAGGTCCTCAGGAAGTCCAAGAACGTCGACTACAAGAAACCACTGAAGGTAAACATCACTCACATCAACGTTTATAGAAGAAACCCAGCAAAGGTTGATGACTTAAGAGCAAAATTTGTATGAATTTAATATTAATGCAGCTTTTTGTTCCTCGTGTCTTAAGAATCTGCACTGATTGGATTAGAATCAATAGAAAACAGAAAATTTTTGTGTAACTTTTCAGTCTTAAAAAATGAAAAATAGGAAAGTATGTTAAAATATCTGAATAAAACAATAGTAATTCCTGCATATAATCCAACAAAGTCCACCTAGTAGAAATAACTTTTTAACTTCATTAATTAATCCACTGTAAGTTCACACATAATGTGTTTTTCTTCCTGCCTCCATTGCAGGTGGTGTTTGTGGGAGAAGATGCGGTTGATGCTGGAGGTGTCAGGAAAGAGTTCTTCCTCCTGATCATGAAGGAGCTGCTGGATCCCAAATATGGGATGTTTCGCTACTACGAGGAATCCAGACTCATCTGGTTTTCACACAAGGTGTGAGCGCTCTGTGATGATGATGATGATGATAAACTTCAACACAAAGTAGCCATGTAAATTAGCCCTTTAAAATTTATCTGTAAACATTCATTCAGGGGAAGATAAGTGCACTAAATCTTTTCAAAGTTTACAAAACCATTAAAGCTCCAAGTTAAAAATTAGCATCGCTATTCGCAGCTGTGTGAACCATGTTGACTTTGTGGTGTCTGAAGAGCATCTGTGTTAAACCTTCTCCCATCTCTGCTTACCGCTGCAGACGTTCGAGGACTTTGACCTGTTTAACCTCATTGGGGTCATCTGTGGTCTGGCCATCTACAACTTCACCATCGTAGAGCTCAACTTCCCTCTGGGGCTTTACAAAAAGCTCCTGAAGAGGAAACCAACGTTGGAAGACCTGAAGGAGCTCATGCCAGACGTGGGAAGGTTTGTGTTCGTCTACCGTCCATCAAAATATTTCAGTAATTTAAATTCTGCCTGTTTTGACCGTTTTGTGATCCGATCTTAAACCAGGAGCCTGCAGGAACTACTGGACTACACTGAAGATGACATTGAAGACACTTTCTGCTTGAATTTCACTGTAAGTTGATATTTGTTGAAATGAATAAATAAATAATTCTGTCTTTGAAAGAAAACATTTTAAAACACCTGCTTGTTTTCCAGATCACAGAGGATAACTACGGAGCCACTGAAGTCCTGGAGTTGGTACCAAACGGTGGAAACATTAATGTCAATAAGTCAAACCGGTAAAAATGTCTTTGCTGTCTTATTATTCATTAGCTGATGTGGGAGTCCTCAGGGTTTCATTTTACCATGACGATGTTTGTTCCAGGCAGGAGTTTGTGGACGCCTACATTGATTACGTCTTTAACAAGTCGGTGGCTCCGCTGTTTGAGGGATTCTTCTCAGGTTTCCACAAAGTGTGCGGTGGGAGGGTTTTAGATCTGTTCCAGCCGAGCGAACTGCAAGCTATGATCATTGGCAACACCAGCTACGACTGGACAGAACTGGAGAAGGTGACGTTTCACAGCCTCCTACTGTTCTTTGTAAAAGTATTCATAGCTTTTCACATTCTGTCACACTGCAAACTTCAGAGTTTTATTTATGGGGATTTCTTTGTGATGGATTAACAAAACCTTTCAGTGGAGCCACATTCAGAAAAAATAATGAATTACACCTCTTCTGAGTTACAAAACACTAGAAATGGTAGAAACGGTAAATGGGCCTAGTCAAAGGATGTGATAAGTCTGAGCTTTAGCTGTGTAGCAAAGAGGAATGGGCACAGATTTTAGTGTTTAGCTCTTCATTAGTGTTCGAAACAGAACTAAAAAACCTTTCACTTCAGTTCTGACAGAAATGCTTCACATCTGTCTGGAGATTCAACTGAACACAAATGTTGGTCAATCAGGAAATCCCAATAGAATCATTTGCTGTGTTATTTTTTGTAATGTGACAAAATGTTTTCAAAGTGCTGTGTGTGCAACAGCATGAATAATTCTGGCTGTGGTTCTGCAGAGCACTGAATATAAAGGAGAATACTGGGCCGAACATCCAACCATAAAGCTCTTCTGGGAGGTCTTCCACGAACTTCCGTTGGAGAAGAAGAAACAGTTTCTATGTAAGTGAAGAATCGTCTGAGCTTTAATCCCAATAAAGACGGTTCCCCTCAGCCAGCTGAATTCACGCCGTCTGTCCTCGTTTCTGCAGTGTTCCTCACAGGAAGCGACCGCATCCCCATCCTGGGCATGAAAAGCCTGAAGCTGGTGATCCAGCCGACCAGCGGAGGCGAGCAATACCTGCCTGTTGCCCACACCTGCTTCAACCTGTTGGACCTTCCCAAGTACTCCAGTATAGAAACGCTGAGAGAGAAGCTTTTACATGCGATAGATCACAATCAAGGCTTCAACCTGGCCTGATGCAAGAAGAGGACTGGAGCTCCGACTGTTGATGGCGAACACATTCCCACATCGCTCACTGGCTGGAGAGAGAGTCCCATTTTCCAAACTTAGTTCTTGCCATCACAGTATTTCAATATTAGGATTAATATCAGCTGTGATATACGGCTATGTAGATATGCTTTTATTCATGTTTGGATGACGCAGGTATGATGAGGCAGACTACTGCCGTGTACCATAAAAAGCTCTGAAACAAAACTCCTGTAAGAAGCAGTGAAACAGCAGCAAAAAGCTTAAAACATTCGATCCGGTGTCTCTAACTGACGTCAAAACAGGAAGTGATCTCGCCCATAAATCCAAAGATAAACGAAGATGTGCTCTAATCCCAGACGTGGCACCGTGTTGGGAGTCAGTCGCTGTATTTTACAGGAGTTGTGTTCAGCAAATGTTTGAATCTGCACAAGCTGAGAGCTTTTGAACCCGGACTTCATTTTATTGGCTGTATGCCTTAAACAATCCACAGATTAAAAATAAAGTACAGCCACTAATAAAAATCCCTCTTGGAGGTTTGAGTGGTTAAACTTGGCGGTCAACAGGAGTTCTGTCATTGATTTCTTTCTTTAATACTATAAAATTGTAAGTTGAGTATTTTAATTGTTGCAAAGGAAAACAGTTCAGTATTTTCACAAACCAAATTTTTCTGGACTTTAAATAGTTTTGATAATTTTGCACTGTTTGATAAAAATCACACAAAATCAGTTTAATTTACAAAAAAAAGTTAGAAATTAGTATTTGTTCCAAAAATGTGTAGGCCTGTTCAGTTTATTAGTGAACTCCAAATTACTGGCAGAAATGGACATTTCTGGGGATGCATTGATATGAATATTTGAGTTGATTATATTAATGTTGCATCAACTAATTTGTCAGTTAATTAACCTTGGATTCTGTACAGGGTTACACTTTTTTCTTTTTAAAAACATCAATGGACATCTACGTTGATACCAATGAATCGTGTCATCGGTCATTTAGCAAACTTTTTTTTCCAAAAGTTTATCCAAGGCAAGAAATGCAACACAAATCTATTTTTCTTTTTTGCTCATATGCATCATTTTCTTATGCATAAGCATTAGAAAGACCAATTATGATCTTTTCCCTCAAAAACTTGATTTATTCCTCTTTCATGTGGTAATAATTCTGTCCTGTTTCATAGCATTAAATCCAACTTTTACATCATCATTACCACCAGATGCCGTCAATCCAAACATAAACAATGGTTGAAAATTACAATCATAAAATTTCTCAGAATAAACTTTTCAGAAGCAGCTGCAGTTGTACTTTTAATACGATTTTCCTTAATCTTATGATCTTATTAGAGTACGATCGGCTCTTGATCATTTAAATCGATCTATAGACTGCAGCATCCATTACACCAGTAAACAATGCGCTGCTGTGTGACGCCAACGCTTTTCTGCACATGCAGTATGAAAGCCAAGCTTTCTTGGATGCGATTCTGTTTCTTTGATCTGATTCAGTTTTTATATTTTTTCTCCTCAAACAAACAGGAACTCGATTCTTTTTCTTTTTAATGATAAACTGTACATGTTAATCAACTGAAGGACAACATGGCCGTCCGGTGTTGACGTTGCGGCACGCGGCCGTCCTAATGGGGCAGTTCATGATGGACCAGCTTGTAGTGAGACCCACATTCAGGACACCGCTGGGGTTCTCCCTCATGGAGCCAGAACCACACGATAGCAGTGTTGTCTTCCTCACCTGCAACAAGAAAAAACTGAAAAATCACTCAAATTTAGCGTAGTTATGCAACTTTGACTAACTTTTTATAGAAGTTTCTTACAGAGACAGCCGACCAGCCTCTTGTTTCCGATACTGGGGACGATGTGAGGGTCTGTCTTGGAGCCGGTGTACTGTTTGGGCTTCAGCATGCTGTAGGGATCCTGTGGAAATCAGACGATCAAGCCAAATACACCACAGTTTACCAAAACAGCTCAGAGAGGGAGCCTCAGAAAAGTGGAGGGAAGATGAGAAAAAAAAGCAAAAATAAGAAAATTTAACTTCACAACTTTTTAAATCTTGACTGTATATGTTATTCAATAATTATTTAGTAAAATATAAGATAAAAAATATTTTTAAATTATTTCTAATGCTATTTTTCTGATTGGCTGCTATTCAAATTCATCAAGCTGTTTTACTCAATCGAAAGCAAAAAATGTAAATTTTCTGATAAGAAAAAAAGGAACTGCAAAAGGCAAAAAAAGAACTGGGAATAAAATAAAGTGTCATGTGATTAATATAAAATATTACATATTTTGTTAGAAATAAGAGGATTGTGTTGAAAATTTGAATTATCTAGTAATAAAGTCATAAAATGTGATAAATGTTTCCTCTGCAGAACTCATGAATATCTAAAATCAGAAGGTATGAGACAATATAAATGCTGAGAAAATAATTAATGCATAGTAATGAATGAATTGTTATTAAAGTAATAGTTAATGAGTAGTGAATAAAAGCATTCTGAACATTGTTGTTGTGGTAAAGGGGCCCAGTTCAGAGGTTAATGGTGAGCCATGGCAAGATGTTGGGAACTCCTGCAGCAGAAAACATGGATCAGAAACAGAAACTCACTTTTCCCTGTTTGAGGGCCTGCAGGGTGCGTCGCTCCAGGCCAGTCGCCTGCTCCTCATCTGTTGGGATTCCTGGGAAAAAGCGGTGCGTCAATAAGCTGAAAAAGAGCATGTGGTTAAATAGTTTGGTGGCAATAAATGCGAACTTTGTCACTGGACACCTTCCCTCCAATCAGCAGGGAAGCTGGCTGCGGCCCAGGGAAAGTAGCCAATGAGGAGGCTCCATCAAAGGCCGCAATACAAAGTCCAAATGACCTTCATTACTGTCCCAACTGTTGCCACGTTCATTTAAACACATGAAATACAACATAATGACAACGAAGCGGTTTAGGGTCTTCCGCACAGCAGAGGAAATGCGCAGTTTATTATTAAAAAACTGAAAATGACGCAGTTTCTAGCATTCACCCAGACTGAGTCCGAGTCACAGCTGAGTTTTCCCCGCAGTGGAGCGGAGTGACTCCCCGGCTATAAATACATTTCTCACCCCCAGCAGAGGCCATGGTTCGCTGCAACGGCCTCGCCGCGGCGCCCCGCCTCAGCTGGAGGACTCTCAGCGGGCAGGTGCGGAGAAGAAGGCGGGCCGCCATGTTGGTTCTGCTTCTGGTTCTGCTGCTGGTTCGGTTCCACTCAGGTAAAGACAATGACCTGACTGTGACACGGCAGAGAGCTGGACTTAAATGACCCCGATGCGGCCGACCAATGGGAGCGAACGTTATGGCTGCGGCAGCCAATGGGATTTTAGGGAGGGCGGTCCCAGGTGCGAAAACTCAAACCTGACCACAAATAAACAAATATAGATAGAAAAAATAAAATGACGTTGAGAAATGTGTTGGAATATCCAAAGCATTTATTCCTTGTCATTAGTATCGAATGCACAGACATGAACATATTTCTTCAGAAGCCTTACATGTTTGTTTACAATATCCGTTTCAACAATTGATCTTGATATGAGTGATAAAAAGTATTTTTCACAGTAGTTATTTTTTAAGGCACCATTTTAAAATTTTCACTCTTCTTTAAGCAAAACGTGTGAACTTCACACTATTTTTTTATATTTGCTTTCCCAGATAACAGTGGAAGTGGAATAATTGAACCTTTTTTATTAGGTATTTTGTTTCTGTAGATATTCTTGTATTTTGCACAGATTAAGAATGTTCACTGTCTTTTCATGACCTTTGAGAGTAGAAAAAATATATGTTTAATCCCGGTTAAACTTTGACCCGCATAAAAAGGACATAAATCCTGAAGGAGAATCAGAAAGAGAAAAAGCAAAGCACTGAAAGTTGCTGTTTGCGTTGCTGTCCAGTTGGAGGCGCTGTGGAACCAAGACGCTGTCGTGGTTTTGGGTGGAAAACGTGTAGTTCTTGTTGCTCCTGGAGGCTTTACTGCTGAGGTTGGGTAGTAGATAGTGGGGCGGTGTAAAAAAGATGAGGCGTGGATGCATTAAAAAGACTGAGTCTCGCTGTATTACTCAGGCTGCGCTACAGCGTCTATTCACAGGCGCGATCCCACTACTGAGCGGCACGGGGGCTTTGACCTGCTCCGTTCCCGACCTGGGCCGATGCACCCCTCCTTAGACGACCTGGTGGTCCCGGGCTCCCCCAGGAGCACCATATCGATACCGAACTTAGTGCGGACACCCGATCGGCATAGTCCACTGCAGCTCAGAACTCCTGAGCTCAAACGATCCGCCAGCCTCAGCCTCCCGGTAGCTTGGATTACAGGCGCGCGCCACCGCACCCGGCGGGGATCTGCGCCGCTTTTACCGGATTTATTGTTCATCACCTGCTGAGGTCCAAACACCCAATGACGGTAAACCAAACTGAAAAAGGTCAACATTTTTGCTTTACATAACAGAAAGTGAAAATATTTATCACTGAAATATTCTAAGCCACATTCCCAGACATTTCCCTTATGGGAGATAAATACATTGCATTATCTTGTCTTGTTATTTGAATCGTCACGACTTACAGCTAATGAATAAACCCAGGAACCCAAATACAAATTACAGTAGGCTATATGAATAGATGTTCTTATACATCAGCATGTATGATGATGTATAATGGAGCATGGAAGGTCAATACATCCCCTGAACAATGGCGCAACCTTTATCACTGGATCCACGTTGGTTGGTCCCACAAAGGAGCAAATGAAGGTGTCATCAAAGCCAAGCCTTTGCTTTGGTTCATATAAATGTTGAATAATCAGAATGAAGAGGAATTTTATATCAGTTTAATAAAATAAAATGAAATCGATCAGTGTTTTTACTGCGGCTGCTGCTCCTGACTGACCCATAAACACTCTGCCTCATCACCGGAGCGGCTCCAAGAAACACATTCACTGCAAATCAACAACTGAACCGACAACACAGCGCCTCCACCTGGACAACAACACAAACAGCAACTTTCAGTGCTTTGCTTTTCTCTTCCTGATTCTCCTTCAGGATTTATGTCCTTTTTATGTGGGTAAAAGTTTAACTAGGATTAAAATACATTTTTCTTGTCAAAGCATATTTTATATTTATAGAATTAAAGAATATCTAAAGAAACAAAAGAACTACAATTATCAGAATTCAAGTCATTGGTCCAAGTCAAAGGTCATTTCAAATTCACTGAGTACCATCTCCAAACTTTTTCGTGAAAAGTTAAGTGGAAGGAAAAACTGTATTAGGGAAAAGATAGACACCCCAAAGGCTCCAGAGAATTGTGAAGAAAAGTTCCTCCAAGACTTTAAGGGAGTTTGACAAGGAGCAATATGTAATTAATATGTGGCTTTTGTACTTTTCATTACTGAAATAAATAAAATCCCAAATATGCCAATGGTTGGTTCTCTTTTTGGACCAGAAATTGAGCTTTTCTCCCAGTCTCCAAATTAAAACTGATGTTTCTTCGCCTGGATTCCTCTGAGTCTGTATCATAAAATATATATATATATATATATTTTAAAACACCGATACAAATATTTCACATTTCTGCCCGATTATCTGAATGATCAAAATAAATCACAGAGAAAAGAATTAGAGAGAAATGTTGGATTTTATTCTAACACTGTTCATCATGAAGACAGATGTTCATGCAAGCTTTAAAACTAAATGTTACATCAGGGGAAAAAAAGAAACAGAACCAGAATGTTCACTTTTTCTTTCATTCTGCCAAACAAACAAGAGTTCATCTTTGGTAAAAATTAGAGAAATACTTTAAAAAACAGTAGAATAAAAATATGCTCAAACAATGTAAAGAAACTGACATCATGATTTTGAAAAGTTTACTTCAATGCAAAGTAATAAAGGTGCTTTTCAATGTTTTCCTTTTTCATCCCGCTAAAGGCAGCCTTCTCTCTCAGACACTTCCTGCTCCCATCATATTCCATTTCTGGGATTTTCCCAGTCATTATGGATATTAAAAACACAGTGAGTACAAAAGGCAAATATCACCTGATTCAGAGCCAGACACCCAAGAAAGAAACTAAAAGACTAAATGAATCAAATCCTGCCTTCATTTTATTGGTTTTCAAAGTGAATGAGCCACATTTAATGTTTCTTTGAGGTGAAGAATCTTTTTCTTTCCTTTGTGTTTGAGCTAAGTGAATGTAGTTCACTGGGATTTTATTTCTCTAAACTATTGCTTGGAGATGCCTTTCCCACAGTCCAATAAAACTCCACAACAACCTTCATTTTTTCCACATCCTTCTGGGGTGGCCATTTTGTTCTAACTTCCTCATTTGCAACGTCAACTACTTTCTCCTTCCTTAATGTCCTTCATTTTATTTTTTTACAATTTTTTGCAAAATTTCAGACATTGAAATTAATTAAACTACGAGCTCAGTGGAAAACTAGAAGTTATGAGTCGTGACAAATGCCCTTTACAGAAACAGTTTCCCTTTGTATCTGAAGGAAACAGGACATCTTTGACCGACGCTAACTTCAGAAAAATCAGACTAAACATGCAAAATTACTCATTTTGAGCTGAAATTAAATTTAACAAAAAAATCCACAAACATCTGACTACCGATCACAGACATTTAGCTAAAATAAAGATGCTGACCTCAGCTAACCCAATTTCAGAGGGTCATTAAATGTTTTAAATAATAATTGACATTCTCCACTAACTACTCTATTTCACGTCCAAATGCTTAAAAACAAAACCAACACGTTGCTTTCATGATGATGCGACATCTAACTGGACCAGAAACATGAAAACACAAAACAAAAAAAACAGTTTCTGTCTGGAGCTGAATGCTACATGCTTTTCTACAAACATGCTCTCTTTAAAAACAAAACAAAAAAATCATGAAATATTTTTGTTTACAACACTTTCATACTAGACTCTTCTCCTTCATGTTGTGTTCCTCTCCTTTCATAATCCACTAAGAAGGCTGGAATACAAAAGGTCTTTCAGGGTTGCAGACATGGATCTTGATTCTGTTGAAATGGGCCGCCACCCAGGGCACCAATTTACTAGGGATGTCAAGAATGTTCATATGAAAAAAACAAAAAAAAACACAAAAAGGCAGTCATTCATAATTTTATGTCCAGATATCACCCCAGAGCATCACTCTAATATTGTAAACTCCCAGGATTTGAGGTCACAGCCTCATGAGTAGCTAAAATCTGCGTCTAAAAACACTCAGAGCTGCTCATTTTAATAGTTCAAACCCCAAATATATCTTGAAATACGTTCATTAGCACAGTGAAGCTGTGTTAGGACTGGCTAACACCTATAGTGTTCCTTATCTGGAGGCACAGCCAATCAGGGCTAAGAAAAGTAAATGGTGACCCTGGATTGGCTGCCTCAAGTAGAATTGCATCTAGACATTCCAACTTCCCAATCTGCAAGAATCTGGGTGAGCAACATGTTTCTCTATGGGAGCCAGTAGGTGTTGGTCTCAGAAATGGTATCTCAGGGAATTTTCAACATTATTTCTATATTAAAAACCATGATTGGCGTCACTCATGGGAGAACCACCAGAGTAATGAACTGAAAAATGAGAAAACATCATGTTTGTAGTCTGTTTTTCCTCCCAGCTGCTCCTCAACATAAACATGTAGTGTCTCATCACTCATGTTGTTCATAAATGCTACACTTCAAGAAGATCTTAAACCATAATTATGAGTAGAACCGGTCTTTTGCATGTTAAAAAGAGACAACTAGAATGACACATCACATAATCTGGTCATTGGTCTGGGCATTGGTCATGTGTAGCAACAGAGAAGGTGGCTTCTAGAACGAGTATGAGCCAATCAAAAAGCCACGTCTGTTTCAGGGAGAGTGGCTGCAAATGTAAGGCACGGTAAGACTCATCTGGAACATCTCAACTTCCTAACTTCCTTCCTATGTTCCTTCCTTCCTTTCTAACTTCCTACCTTCCTTCTTTCCTAACTTCTTTCCATCCATCCATCCATCCACTCAAAGAACAATGGAGGAAAAAAGGGTCAGAAACCCTCACAGTGTTCAGTGCGCTGCAAAAACAAAATCTTTCCAACTCGACCATTTTGGTGCAGGTATCATGAAATACTTTAAATAAGACAAAACTAACTTGAAAGTAACTTTTCAGCAAAATATAGGCGCTTCCTTCATATTGATGGAATCAATAGCTCCACTGGCAGATTATTTCTCCAGTTGCAAGAAATGTTTCTTGTGTTATTAGTGAAATAATATGCCAGAAGAAGTTTTTCGTCAATATTAAGGGTTTACTGACTCAAAACAAGCTCATAGATCTTGCTGAAAAGTTACTTCTAAGTTTTTGTCTTATATTTGTACTAAGACATTTGGACTAGAAACTAGACCACAAGTCCTTGGTAAGATTTTGTGTTTTTGCAGTGTGACCATCTGCCACCATCTTCTTCATCATTTAACCGACTATAGAAGCAAAGTGTCTCCACATGTGCTTCTCTTGCTGGGTGAGGTTTGGACGGAGGCCCCTAGAGGCGGGTGAAAGGGCCCACGTGCAGAGGACCCCTCAGCTTCGGAGAGGAGCAGGAGTTGGAGGTGAAGAGAGAAGACGGGGAGGAGGAGTAAGGCGACGACGAAGCGGACGATGAGTCGCTGTTGAGCGTGAAGACGCTGGAGATCGCCACGTCAATGATGCCTTGACATAATTCTGGGTAGAGTTTCCTGCACCAGGGAGGTGGACAACCATTAAAATATGATCTGAAACAAAGAAAAGTGATTTGTGAACAGCGTTACTGACTGAGCGCAGGCTGGAGCGCCGTTGATCTCGATGAGCCACACTTTGAAGTTTTCGTCGACCATGAAGTCAAAGCCAAAGAGCTGGAAGCTCTGGTAGGACAGGTGCTTGGTGCTGATGGCCGCCTCAATGCACGACAGGCAGCTCCTGAAACGACACCAAAGTCTTCTCAGCGTCCAATAATAACCGCGTTAAGACATGCCATCCATTTTCTGTTGGACAGACAAACTCTGGCGTTCTGAGTTCGCTACTTACCTCAAGCTAGAAGGATGTGTGAAGTTTAAAACTTTAAAACACAAGGTATGTGCTTCCAACGGCAGGTTTTATTCAGCAAGCATTAGTTATTGTTCAGTTGTTCAGATAAAGGACTTGATGTTGGTGCCTCGCTACGTTTTTTCAAACTAACTAGTACTAATAATCAATCATCTGTAAAACTTAAATTGTTAATAATTTATTGTAAATCTTCCAGTGAGATGCACTGAAATAGCATTTTAACCACCATGTGGTGGTTCAATGTAACGTCCACCAGAACAGGAAGGTCCTGGACAGAACCAGAACTTGCTGCAGGAACCAGGTCGTAGTTTTAGACAGAGAACACATTGGGATTAGCTGGATGATGTCAGAGTTTCCCTCCTGAACGGGAGTCAGAGAGAATCAGAGGGCATTCACACCAGCCCTGCTTAGTTTGCTTTAATCAGATTCCAGATGGTTTGCCTAGAACGGATCGGTTCATTTGGGAAGGTGTGAATGCGACTCTTGTTTGCCTGCGAACCTCGTTCTCAGTTCAGTTGAAGTGAACTCTGGCGGAGTTTGAATGCATACACGAACGTCAAGCAGATAGGAGACGGTTCCAAAAACAGGAAGTGGACTAAAGCACAGGGCACTTTGGGTAAATACAACCAGAACAAACATGCTGGTCCAGCACAAGTGGGAGAAATGACTCGGTATTTTACCAAAAACAAAATAGAAATCCAATAACTGGTAACATCTGACGCTACTCCATTTTTGTTTTCATTTTGTGAATAAGAAAGTTGCGCTCAGTGTCTTCTTCAGAGGTATTTGTGTTGTTTCCTTCACTGGTTCTTGGTGCAGCGCCACCATAGGCAGAGAGAGGAACAGATTTTTCAAAAGGTTTAGATTGTTTGACACAGTACAGTCAGAAAGAGAACCAGCTGAAAATGTAGCAAATGTTGCAACTTTGGTCCCAATCAGTCTGAAACTACTCTCAGGTTTCCTTAAGACCACCTAAACTAACTCCCCTCCACTCTACATCTGCTCCACAGTTTCCAGCAGACTGAACTGTTGTTGAAACAGGAATCAACTCACTTGATGACGTGTTTGATCTGAGGTAATATGGTCGTCTCCAGGGTGACGTTGTGAGTGTTGAGCAGGTACAGCCTGAACTCGTCGAAGAACATCTCGTTGCCCTCCTCATAGCGGCCGTAGTTCTGGGAGTGCTCCTTCTGAATGCAGTGATTGGTCAGGTGGCTGGTCATGTCCTGCAGGTCTGCACTGTTGTAGGGCTCCGACGAGGTCCGCAGCACGCCCTCCCGGTACAGGTAGATGTTATACTGATGGTCCACCAGAACCCAGCTCCTGTCAATGGCAGAGCAGGTGAGAGTCAGGCATCTGAGGCAGATTCTCCAGAGGCGCAGTGTGGCTGAAACACCTGCCTGATGTCAAACTTCCGATGACCCGGCTCCAGCAGTAGGGGTTTCTCTAGGTACTTCTGGATAACATGAACCTGTCCCTGATTGTCAATGTAGTCCAGCAGCTGATTGGCATCATGTGAGATCAGAATACCTGCACCTGGTGCAACAGGAAAGGTTAGCTTATTATGAGATCAATACATGCAGGCAAAGTTTAGGTTCTATCGGCTCAATGGTGGCTATAAATGCTGAAGATCCACTAAAACTGCACCATTGATGGATGGTGGATAGATGGATGGATGAAAAGATGAAAGATTGAATGAAAAGATAAATAGATGGACGGATAAAAACTCTAACACATAAACACATAAATCAACTCAAAAGCTGTGCATAAAGATAAACCAGCAGCTGAGTCAGAAACCAGTCTGTACCTTTAGCTCCAGCAGAAGACTTGGCGATCCACACCGTTCCCTCTCCGCTCTCCTTCTTAGCATGGTAGGAAGCCAGGAAGACTTCCCGCTCATCTGTCTTCGGGTTGCTCTTCAGGTGGCTGATGCCATTGGTAGCCGGTGCGACGGGGGTGTTGAGGTTGGTGGGGTAGATGATGTAGGACTCTGGGAACCAGTTGCTGGAGTCTGACAGCTCTGGGCTGGTCTTTATTAGCCTAATGGCCCAGAAGGAGAGCCGTCAGCTGATTTTATTCTCTCTGGCTGATCAGCTTTCAGGCGAGACAACAGAAACAAATGGGTCTGAGAAAAAGACAGAGACTCACTTGACCAGCGACGCCTTCCTGCACAGCTTGTCTGCTCCTCTGTAGTAATTCACCAGCTGCACCAGTCCTGGTTCATGGCCTGAAACATCAACATGACGACATTTCAACATGTTCCACTGACACTCGAGTCATTCTGAAGTTGAAGTCATAAACAGGAAAATGTTTCACAAAAACCTTAAAATTCAGCATGGCTGTCCTGTGTTTAAAATCAAATGTTAGCTGCAGAAATGAACAGCTTGTTTTCACGTCACAGCAGGCTGCATTTCCGGCACACTGTCATGTGAATTATAATCAAACTCTTGAAATGTTATACAAAAGTAAAATGCAAATTAGGTTTTTTATTATTATTTTTTAAACAGATTTTGATGTTAGATAATACTGTAATAAACAGGACCCATTTCAGAAGTTGGTGGTTTGGACTGAAATTTTTCTGAGTTTTGTGCCTCTGGTGGATGGAAATTTTAGCTACATCAGAACTTATTCAGCAAATATGTTACGATCTCTGCATTAGCACATTCACTCTTCTTCAGAAAAGTCAAAAACTACTGCAAGCAAGCAAAAGGTTTTTCTGAAACTGAGGAAATTATTTTGATTTGCAGTTTCCATCAACTATTTCTAATGTATATGGAAATACAGCCACTGCTTGATTCAGTTCTAAAAGTGAAACTCATAATATTTAGTTTATTACACACAGAAAGGTAAACTTTAAGCAATCTGATTCATGTTTTCCACTCATCCTCCAGTAATCTGGGAATTTTTATTTCCAAATTTCCAGTCAAATATAAAATTAAAACTTGCTTGTTTTCTGGTTCATAAGTGACAATCTGTGTGGGATTTCTCTTGAATCAAGCCACACTTTTTTTCCTTCCACTCAACTTTCCATTGACCCTTCTGGAACTGCCAAGTTATGACTCTTCCAAATTACTGTACTGGGAAATACATTTCTGAATTTTAAATAATACATTGGTAATCATTTGTGGAAAACTGACACAAACTTTAATTATCATAATTAACATTAATAAATGCTTGGAATCAATAATTATGTGTTTAATGAATATAATTGAGTTACATCATTTGAATTTGAGAACTTTTGAGTTAAATTACAGATCAGAACGGGTTTTTTTCTACACAATGAAGACATGGAGTCTCATAGCAGCCTTACTGGGTAGGTTGACACCAAATACACGTCACTCACCAAGGCGTCCAAATGGCAGCCGGTTCCGCTCACCGAGCATGAGGTTGAATCTGGGATTGTCTCTTTTCAGTCTCTTCCAGTGTCCGGTGGACAGCAGGATTTTAGACACTTCTGCATAAATAGTGCTGTTATCGTCGCGGCTAACAAAGGTGTACATGGGAGAGCTCATCATTCCACGCTGACCACAAACACGTCAAGTCGGCTACAAAGTCTGGGTTGGTGTGTGCGGGTCAGCCGTGGGTGGAGGCTGGATCTGCAGCAGACAGCCTGCTGGGGATTATCACCTCTGTCCGAGCCATGATGGTGCTGATGAGTCGGTCATATTAAGTCCACACTTTTAACTGGGCTCAAACTGGTTTCCAATTGGATGAATCCAGCAGCAAGAGGCTAACACATGTTGGCATGAGATATGAAGGGTAGTTTCTGCACGTTGCAGAGCTGATACGGTTCCGTTCCTCTTCCCAGACAAGGGTGTGTCAGTCTGACTGGCTCGGTGCTGCTCCGGTTCCTGGGGCTGGTCCCGTCCGGATTCATTCACATCCTGTCTCCACTTTAGCTAAGCGGCTAACGGGCTCCTACCGCTTCAGATGCTAACAGTAAACTCTTCCTCTGCGCGTCGCCAAAAGCTACAAAAGTAAATACGAGCCTCTCAAAACACAAACTGGATACTAACTTTTCGCTTCCATTTCAACAATACACCACATCCCCCTCTACAGCGTGCGCTTTTTTCTTCGGAATCTCAGGCATCAGCTATCAACAGTATAAACACAGCAGTCTAGCATTCTGGGTAATGTAGTTTCAGACATCAGCAACACCCAGCATCGTTTACAGGAAACGATTTTAATGTAGCACAAAAGAAACTGTGGGTGAATTTTAAAAATAGCTATGAAGAAATGAAACATTTTGTAAATCCAGTCAAAGCAAAGCTCGAGGGGTGTAGCCTTTTCACAAAATGTACTACATTTCCCAGAACACAACGCACTCAAGCGATAAACTAACGCAGGTGTTAGGTATGCCCTGTCGCTCTAAACTTTCACACATTGACGAGAAAATGGACTAACTTTTTATTTACTCCAAGTTGGCAGGGAGAAGCATTCTGTGGCAAAGTAAATTATTAGCCTGACAATATTTGCATGCATCTATTTTTCCCAAATATTATCCTATTCATATAAAACTGTTACCAGCAGTTAGGAGAAAAAGTTAAGAGATTTCTATATTTACTGAAAAATCCTTATTTAATATATAAAATATATTTTTATTCCATTTTAGGTCTTTTTTATATTTTATAGATATTTTTCTTCAGTAGCTTTCAGGTCATGTGACTCATTGACGCGTAATCTACGAGTCTGAACAGATGAGGCACACTCGTGTTTTTTCTTTTGTAACCATCTTTATCTATTTTTCTAGCAATTTTTTAGTAAAGATTTATTATTTTTATGTAATAGCTTTATTTTTATTTTATATCTTTTTCTGTAAATTCAATAAATAATGATAGAAAAATTATAATATTTAAAAGTTGTAACAATGTTCTTTGGAATTGATAAGAGAAATATAGAAAAGCAGTCTTAATCATTCATTCGTTTATTCTGTAATCCTCACTAAACTAAATGAAGTGCGCAGATTTCAATAAAATACAATGCAACAGTTTAAACAAAGTATGTGTAAAAATAACTAAAGATCTTACTTCAGGTATGTGCTAATCATTTTTCTTGGTTTTAATATTTTGTCTAGGTATTCATTTCGTATCTGATGCCTTTCAAAAGAGCGTTGTGCCACTAATGATTCACAATAAAGCAACAGCTTAATAAAACAGTACAATATTGCACAGCTTCTGTTGGGCTCCTCAACGTTGCCACTCACAACATGGCGGCGAGTCATCTGCGGTTATCGCGTTCAGGCCACATGATGGCGACGTAAACCTTTGTTCAAACTGAAAGATAGTCATTCACAACTTGAAAGGATATTACAAAGTCTTAAAATGAATAATATTCTTTATACTAAACAATAAACATAATTTAGAGAATATTTGTTGAATTATAACTTATATGAACGACTAAGTGTAACAAGTTTTGGGTCTCGTTCTATTCTTGTTGAGAAAACTTTTTAAATTGAGTTACCTTTACTTTTTATCCAAACAAAAAAAATGCTGTTTGAAAAAAAACGTATTATATTTAGCTCTGATTTTCCTAAATTCATTAAAATTCATTGTGGGTCTCAGAGAGAACTGGGACGGGAAGTGACGTCACGGAAAAGGAAGCCGAGTGGCGGGAATCCAGAGTACAATGATGGCGTTTTAAAGTGGAGCAGTGGTCGTAACAGTTAGCGTGGTAAAGTTGGCTGCTCCTTTAGCATCTTTCACCTGGTGAGAGCTAACAGGAAGGCTGTCCCGACTGTAAGTGATTCCGGTTTTTCTGAGCAGTGACGTGTTTTTAACTGTAAACAGGCCACGTCTGGAGGACATGAACTTATGGAAGTTAGTAAATATCTGTTTAGCATAAACTTCCCCATTTTGTCTCTTCACAACAGCAAACCGTGGTATATTATTGGGACTCCATGAAAGTCCACAAAGTTCTTCATGTAAGCTTGGAAACATGCCAAACAACATGTTTATGTTTGAATAAGATCATTAATATTCCCAGAATTGATTACTATGGGAAGTTTCCGACATGGAATATTTTCTTGAATCCCCAGGCTGAACTTCCCTTGAAAAGTTTTCAGAGGTTTTCCTGGAAATAAAATGTCTCCATTGTGTTGCTTTCTTTCAACATTGACTTTCTCCTTCCTAGTCCTATTGGTTGACCTTCTCTAACAAACATCTGGAGATTTCACAGAGCTGGATTTATATGGAGATTGATAACTTTACACATATCTGGACTCTACTAATGTATGAAGATTCCTGTTGCAACAGGTTTTATTTAAGGACGTCAGAGTATAGGAGGTTAAATACAAACATAAGTGACATCACATGTAATAACATGTGCTGCTTTGTGTCAGTTTGCTAGTTAAAATAGCAACAAAGTTTGTAAAGTGACAGAATGTGTCAAAGCTCAAGAGGTATGAATACTTTTGGGAGTTGCTGTAAATGTATGTGAAATTGTGATTTTGCTCTTGCTGATTATTGCTGTTCCAACTGCTTAGAATGAGAAATAACATTTTTTAAAATGTACAGTTATATGCAAATAATAGAATGAAGATACATTGAATAGTTTCAGCAGCTGAAATCAGATATTTACACTCTACAAACATTTCCTCCCTGTCTGATAAGTAAGATTTAAGTTTCCCTGTTTTAGATCACTTAGGTTGTTAAATACTAAAATTATTTGGAAATAATTTTACTGGCCCTAAAAGTGTCCTCACTAAGAAATGTGATTTACAGTGATTGCTATCGACACCCAGTAACTGGGACTATAAACATCAGGTAGCCCATTTAGCAGCAAGTGCATAAGTTTGATAGACAGTGCTAAGACCCTCCTCCTGTCTCTGATTGGTTGTTTTTGGTCAGATAATCTTTTCACTGATCATCTGTCTCATAACAAACCGTTTTAACTATTATGTTAAACATTTTTTATGAACGTTACATAATGCAGTCCAGTCTGTCTGTCAGTTGTATTTTTGCTCGTTTTGTTCTTCTATAGTTTGGAAGGGAAAAAATAAACAAATTCCTTGTGAGCATTTTCAAAGTAGCACCACAAAATCAGTGATTTTTCACAGTGTGAAATCCTGGAGAGACTAAAATGTCTATTTTCCTCTGAATCCTGTTTGTGTTTTTTTTCTTTTCATCACAAACTATGAAGAAGAGCATTTTTCTCCGTCTGCGTCAGATGTGGAGCGTTTGGCGTTGACAGAGGTCATGTATTTTTCATAACGTTTGTCCCCTCTCCTCCATCAGGCCGGAGCAGACCAGGCATGAGCGGCGCACACCTGGAGGAATGGCAGCACAGGTCCTTAGACATTTCATCTGGCAGCTGCACACCTGAACAGAAGGCCGACGCCTACCGGGCCCACATCCTCTCCATTCAGTATGCATGGGCAAGCTCCCAGCTTTCTCAGGCCGGCGCGGCCGGTCTGCTCAGGACCTACTCGGAGCGCTACGCCGCCGTGCTGGACTCGGATGACCCCCAAACGGGGCTCAACAACTATGCAGAAAGCGCGCTCCATCTGGCCCGCAGTCAGAGGAACCTCAGCGACAAATGGGTGTCGTCGCTAACGGCAGAGAGCATGCTGCAGATTCCCTCGGTGCAGAGGATGATTCAGGCGAGTTCAGGAAGATCAAGCTTCCTGGTGGCCCCAGCAGATGTTGACATACCTGTGGGATACGAGAGCAGAGGGGACCCCGCCGCAGCTCAGGTTCAGTTTTCTACAGCCAGTCGAGCACCGACCAGCTCGGAGGTTAACAACGTTACCAGGAATCTAACAGAGAGAACGAGAACTTCAGATGGAATCGTAGTTAATTCAAGCGTTGTCCCTCGACCCGCATTACGACCTCAGTCAGCGTTTGGTCATTCTTCTTCATCTGGTCCTTCAGGAGCTGCACAAACTCATCAGTCCACCTTCTTCCCCTCCTCAAACCCATCCAAACGGAAGAACTTTTACAGTTCGGACAGAAGTGAGGGCGTTAGCGGCCAACATGGAGGTCCAGGGGCAACCGAACCCCGCGCCTTGAGCAACTTCAAAACCGCCCGGGAGCAGTTCATCGTCGATCAGCAGAAGAAACACTCCTACCAGCCCCAGAGAGGCCACCCGCCTGGGATGGCGGCGGCCGTGAAAAAGTCTCTGGGGGCCAACAGATCTCGAGGGGCGTTCTCCAAGTTTGTGTCACCGATGCCCCGGCCGGACGAGGAAGACGGCAGTAAAAACTCCAACCCAGAACTTCAAATCCTGGACGAGCGACTGAAGAACTTTGAGCCAAAAATAGTGGAGCTGATCATGAGTGAGATCATGGATCATGGCCCGCCGGTGTCCTGGGACGACATCGCTGGCCTGGAGTTTGCTAAGACGACCATAAAGGAGATTGTGGTGTGGCCCATGCTGCGTCCCGACATCTTCACCGGGCTCCGCGGGCCACCTAGAGGCATCCTGCTGTTCGGGCCCCCGGGAACGGGGAAAACGCTCATTGGAAAATGCATCGCCTGCCAGTCCGGTGCCACCTTCTTCAGCATCAGCGCCTCGTCGCTAACATCCAAGTGGGTGGGCGAAGGAGAGAAAATGGTCCGGGCGCTGTTCGCCATCGCCCGCTGCCACCAACCTGCGGTGATTTTCATCGATGAGATCGACTCCCTGCTGTCCCAGCGGACAGACGGGGAGCACGACTCGTCCCGCAGGATAAAGACGGAGTTCCTGGTTCAGCTGGACGGCGCCGCCACTGCAGCCGATGATCGCATCCTGGTGGTCGGCGCCACCAACCGGCCCCAGGAGATTGACGAGGCCGCTCGGCGCCGCCTGGCGAAGCGGTTGTACGTCCCCTTGCCCGAAGCGGGCGCCCGGCGACAGATCGTGACCAACCTCATGGCGCAGGAGAGAAACCACCTGAGAGGACAGGAGCTGGAGAGTGTGGTGGCGGCCACAGAGGGTTTCTCCGGCGCCGACATGACCCAGCTGTGCCGGGAAGCCGCCTTGGGCCCCATACGCAGCATCCAGCTCAACGACATTGCCACCATCAGCGCAGATCAGGTGAGGCCGATTCTCTACGCCGACTTCCAGGAGGCCTTGAAGACGGTTCGACCCAGCGTGTCGGCGAAGGACCTGGAG